AGCTGAGGAAAGACCCAACTGGTCCGTTTATGTATAAGGCCAGGTTTAAGTTAGTCCTTTATATATTACCCTGGACAACCATCATCCTTTAAGTTTGCTGAAATTGGACACCTTTGGTCTAAGGCTCACTAAAATCCTTGTTAGGCTTTCATTTAACGGTAAAGTTCCATTCGTAACAGAATATATTAACAGCAAGATGAGATCGTCACACCACCCAACCTTCACTATCGCCTTTTCCACCATTAAGTAAAAATATGTTCTCTTTCTCTTTTTTGCTATTTTTCATCTGTTTTCTTCCTTTGCGATTTCAGCCCCCCTCCATCATATCATATATCTGCATCAAGACTTTCCTTCCTCCTCTGCTAAGAAGTTCCTGTTTTCCTCTACTTCTTTTTCTATCCTTCAGCAGCAAAATCGTAGAGGTTAAATTAATTAAATTCTGTCACTACAGAAAAAATCCAAATTGAGTTGTTTAATATGCCTAAATTGAGTTGTTCATTGCGGAGGATAAATAATTAATAATGAACCAAAAAATATTTTTGTATCTGAGAAAAAAAATTTTGCCAATAAAATGAATTTACAACAATTTGAAAAGAATAAGCCATAAAACCAGTCACTTCGTCCATGGAGTTTCTTTCACATTACTTAAATTTTTAAGTTCATCCAATCACATGCAACATCCTTGATCCCCTTTCCAGTGAAAAGGTTTGGAGGTGAAGTCTATTTCCAAGGAGAACAAAAAGAAACATTATAATTGGGGCTAACAATTTCCGTTAAGGAATAGAGTTGCCGTCATTGACTACCCTTTTTCTGTTAAAAAAAGGATTTTAGTGAGCCTTAGACCAAAGGTGTCCAACTTCAGCAAACTTAAAGGACTATTGCTGTCCAAGGTAATATATAAAGGACTAACTTAAACCTGGCCTTATACATAAGGGACCATTTGGGTCTTTTCCTCATAGATAGAAGATAAGTATAGATATAGATATAGATATAAATAGAAGATAAGTATAGATATAGATATAGATATAAATATAGATAGAAGATAAGCAGATCAAAGCTTTAACGTAATCAAATCTTTGATGGTCTATAAAACCACGTAATTCCTCAATACTAGAAACAAAGGCTTCTTTTATGTTTCACGTTCAGGTCCATGGTGTAGAAAATTGGTTTTACTGGAACGACACGTGGAGTGGCTTTGATGGATGTCTACAAAGTGTGGATTCGAGAAAAAAGAGTTACAAAGCTTGGAGACGCATTTAAAATGCATTAAAGACTTGACATGAAGCCTAGAGAATATTTAATAGAAAATTTCTTTAGGTATTGAAGAGTTTCCTTGAGAGCATGCCTCTCTTCCAATCCTCATGACTCGAACGAAGACTATATTTTGATGCATATTCAAGGAGTTCCTCGTTCGTTAGCTTACTGGAGACCTGGACTCAAGGGTTTTATTACTGTCGAAATGCTCATATCCACGTATGCTGGTACGACAGCCAGTTTTATGCAGTCAATTTTCAGGGAAACATTTCGATCGTAGGCTTCAGAGGAGGTTCACAATCGCAACCAACCGCTGGAAGGGTAGTTAACGGACTACCTTCCGACTTTATTGTGCATTCTTTAGGTGAACTATGGGCGATGGTTCGAGATGGAATTGAAACGAACCTCAAAACGAACACATATGGTGCTACACAATTTGATGTTGATGTGGATAAGGAGAGTTATGAGGAGGTTTTTGATTTAGGGAACAGGGCACTCTTCCTTGGCTTTAATGCCACTTTGGCTGTTGAACAAGATGAATATTTTAAGGGCAACCGTGTATATTTTACAGATGATTGTTCTTCGTCATACTTCCACAGTGAAAGAGGAGGTGGCAAGGACCTGGGCATATACAACTATCTAGATGGCAACATTGAACCCCACTATACCTACCACAGATTCAGTCCACCAATATGGATCTTCAACAGTCCTTTCTCAGCTTAGTATTGATTCAGAATTAATATACTTTGCTAACTGTGTTGCGAACTACTTTTTAGTTCGTCTTCATTTCCTAGCTTTCTTTTTGTTGGAATTGCATGTAATTCTCTTTTGGTAGTAGTTAAATTACTTGTTTGTCTTTAATTCTTTCCTTTCTTTCTGTCGGAATTACATGCTATACAAGATTGTGGTGCTAGTTACATGCTATAATTTAAGTATTTTCCCTAGACAAATATCATCTCAAATCGAAATACACTAATCACAGGACTAGAAAACATATAGTAACGAAAAGAAGATCTCATCTCATGTCAGCATAATGAGCTAAGGAAACTAGACAAGCATTCAAAAATATTGCATGAAACTATCAAAGATGAAGATGAGAAAGATGATGATTCCACAGCTGTAGAATGCATATTGCTTTACTGGTGGGAAGTTATAGGAGCATTCAAAATCTTGATCAGTTTTGTTTCCTTTACTGCTATTTACATGAAATCCGTCACAGTTGAACTAATCACCAGAGTATTATTCAAGGTATCTTACTGACAAGTAGAAAAGAACACAGACTCCTTATCCTTTCATGAGATCGGCGTACATTGACCGATGAATAACATGTTGAGGCGAGACAATTGCACCGTTAACACGAAGTTGTCGCAGAAAATCCACTCGCACTGATTTGAACTGATATCGCTGCAGTATAAAAACTAACATGTGATTAGATGGGAAGGAAAGAGAAGTTTAGATAACATATAGACAGTGTAATAACATGGGGAACACAAACGATGTCAGGAATGACTGTTATGCTTGGTATCTACTGCAGTGAAAAAAGACAGAGAGAAGAGCCAATAGGTAAACATGTAACTCTATCTGAAATATAGCTTCAATGATAAACCTAATGATCCTCGCCAACCCAGTAAATACTATTAGAGGATTAAAACGTTACCGTTAGTAAAGGTGTTCTACAAAAAAAGAGAAAAAAGAAAAAAGGAAGAGGAAATAACACCAAAAAAGATATCAAATAAAGTGGAGCTGACACATATGAAACATCGAAATGTAAACCCAACATAAAAACCTGTTGTACAGCTTACACATAACTTTTCAAATAAACCAGTCATTTGAGATATGCAGAAGTAAAATGGAATAAGCTAAGAAAAAACAGAGATATTAAAATGATCGAAGGTTACCTTTAATTTCCATTCAAAATCAAAGGAATGGTAGAAAGGATCCAAAAGTGTGATCTGATCTTCTTCTTTGATCTGTCAACAGGAGTAGTTTGTAATGTGAAAATCTAAGGGGAATGCGAGCAACTGAAGATCAGCAAGTACTCCAACAATTAATGTAAAATAGAATTCTCAGTAGTCACTGTATATCTATCTACTCTCTGCTCTCTCTCAAACAAAAAGATGCTTTACTACACAGTCAAATTTTCTTTGCCTTATCTTTTTTTCATTTATAATTCATTTCAGCTCTTTGTCCTGCGTAAACACATGAAAATTGGAACATGCCACAATCCTGTATAGCAGAATTTAAGGATGTCACAAATTTATTAACATGATCAAAAATTTAGTTGAATGGAGATATTGGATCTAAAATCAGCTCTTCAATATAATGTGAAACTCTAACGGAATACAAAGGGCAGTCTTTGCTTTCTAAATCTCTTATTTAATGGAACAAATACTGGGGACAATCTGCAAAACATTACTATTCCAACTCAGTGTACATTATATTCCAAGTGTGTAATTCACTATATTGGTATTCACTAAGTATTGTAACTTAATAAGATTTTTCTTCCAAGAAGGGAAAGTAGAGGAGAAATGATCACTTGTTGCCAGACATACTTCCACTTTAGCAGCAAAGTAACTAAGAAAAGAATATGTGAACTGCGCCTGTTGCTTAGAACTGTACTTAAAAAAAAAAAAAAAAAAAAAAAAAAAAAAAAACTGATCACATTCGTTTAAGTAACAGAGATTAGACCAAAGGTGTTACTTACTGCAGTGCCACGTATTCCGTAAACAGTAATTACAAAACATGTGCGGTCAGAATCACAGACGACATAGTATCTGCAGAAGAAGAGTAGAAGTTGAGACAACATAGTATCTGCAGATTGTGGGGCAGCTCTGGGAGGGGAGAAGTGACAGAATCAACTTTTCTAAGGTAAGGTAACTTACATTGGTCTTTTGCTGGGATTCTTAACTGAAAACAGAACTTTTCCTGTGACTGCTTTTCCTTCATTAAGACCTTCAGTTAGGCGATCGACAGTAGCTCTCTCATAAGAAGGATCCACTACAAGAAAGTATTTTGCTCATTTTATGGATTACAATCTTAATCCAATATCACACTGTTTTTGGAAAGGAAAAATATCTAAGACCCATATATAAAGCTTACATTCAACAGAAGCAAGGGATGATGCTAGCGAATCAACAGTAGGAAGAGATGATGATGTTGGAGAAGAAAGCTGCTTAGCATCATTTAGTTTCTGAAAGACAGGATCAACTAATTCAACTACCTTCACAATCTCATGCATAAAAAGACATGTCATATGCATAAAAATGACATGTAATCTGAGAAAACCTCCTGTGTTTTATTGATATGTAATATACTGAATGCATAAAGCTATTCTTGGAATTAGTACCTTCAATATTTTTGAGTCCCTTTCTTAATCTTTTTTAACTGTCTTACTAGAATCCTATTTCCCTTGCATTTGATTTTCCTAGCTGCCCTTTATACTTATCAAGGGTTTCAAAGCCAAAATTTGAAGATACAGAGCAGTACTGATAGAATCTCAAAATACTATCGTACTGAATTTTCTGTGGTATTAGGATGTGAAACACATCCAGAATATGTAATTCTGATGATGGAAGCAGAGTTACCTCATGCTTGAGTTCCACACTGGTGACAGGCAATATGCATGAATTAGAGTCACAACTATATAATCTTACCTTAAGCAAAGAGTCTACATCATCAAGAACATCGCACAGATTTGACGCTTGCTCTATAGCTTTAATACTAGGATCCAACAATCCAGCACTTTCAAATCCAGATAGGGCCATCCAATAGTTCTCCAGAAACTTGTACGTCTGTTGAACCAAGTTACAGAATCACAAAAACATGGTATTGAAATTTTGAGGAGGCAAATGAAAGTAAGGATATATAAGCAGACATGAAATGTCACGGTGAAGAAAATAGATGCTTTCTTTTGAATATACTCTTGAAGTTTCATGACTAAGCATAAACATGCTCAAGCTGCAAAGGTATAAGTATAACCCAAGCGCATGAAAAGCTCCACACATAGATATTTTGCTATTTAGTTCTCCCTTTGTTTCCAGTGAACCAGGAAGCCTTTTATTACATGCTTCCAGGAACTATTTAAACATTCAGGTACATAAAAGTTATGTGCTAGAACAATTGAAAAAAGGAATTGGTATATAGCCTTACCATCGAGCAGTTGAAACACAATTCAGCACTGCGCATCATCTTTTGGTCTTTCGCCTGAAACAGAACACAAAATTAGAGGGCCTGAGTAAGAAATGCAGACAAAACAACCTTAAGGAGATATAAGATAGTTCTGAAGTCCATGAGGTAAATTATAAGAAGAAGACAGCAAAGTAGGCTTATTGTGGGAAGCTTTATGAAAAGATAAACTGGCAAGAAGCATACTCACAGCATTCTTGTATGCTTTTAATGACTGATAAAGCATATCATGATCCCAAGCTCCAGTCAGAAAATAGGCGGTGAGACATGCATTTCCTAGGGCATCTGGCAAAAAAAATGAAAGATCATTCAAGAAACCTGAGTTTGGATGAAACTAAATCATGATAATGGATATTCAATCTTATCAATTACGAAACCAACTCCACCAAAAATATTGTAAATTTGTCAAAGCAGGAAACTGAAATAACTGAGCTTGCAAGTGAAATACAATATGCAATTTGCACGTCATGTACTAGATTCATGCAACTTTTTATGTACATATTCAAGAGCATCTACTAGTTTATAAGTATATGTTCCAGATCACCTACATAGTTTCAGTTCCTTCATTTTTGTCTTCTACAAAAGTTATCTGCTCCGTATAAATTATGGCATGATGTATGGTAAGTACAGGTGGTCTCAGTTACATAGTAAGCACAGGTGGTCTCAGGTATATATCTAAGTTACATGTTGAGAATCCTGGGATTAGAAATTGATTTAATTTGCTACCATATTCTCCAAAGTAAGTGGAGAAAATTACACGCACCATTATAAGGTGAGTATACCAGCATGTGTATCACATTAAAAGAAATCCCTCTTTCCTTTGGCATGTATAATGTGATTGAAATTAAGAGCAAAAAGACATGCTTAGTGGACATTCAGACTTCGCAACATAGTTGATAAGCACAATTTTCAGGATCATATTAGAACAAATTAAAACAGTTAATCCTAGAGTAGCGCAGCTCAGTTTAATCATAGACAGTTAATTTTCAGTCCCTGACATTTTTTGGTTCTTCATCCTCCTTCCCTTTACTATTTAATTTTATCAAGTTTACGACCAACAAACTTATTATTCTTCCTTAAAGCTGTATACGTCGTTTTCAGGAAGTGCTACTTATGTATCAATAGCAAGTATATCCAAGAAGTACAAAATGCAGTCTTACACCATGATATTCCATCCCGGATATCCAGAGCAATTGCTTCCTTGGCATGCTTAATACTTTCAGCAATGATTTCTTCTGGATCTTCAACCTCTGGAAAGTTGAATACAATCAATTAATACTACAGGCACTCTCTAAAAAAATGTGACTACATAATTAAGGTTCAAAATTCAAAATATGAAGTTCCTAAGGAAGTACAAAAGTTTACCTATTTCACCAGTGCACTGTCTTCTTTCGAGCACTGCTAATTGACGTAATAGCTCCAAATTTTTCGGATCCTGAAAACAGCAAATACAAATATATCCATCAGAATTTTCAAGAACTAAATTGATCACTCTCAAAACGCTAATTAAAATCCAAGAAGCAGCATATAAAATGACCTGTTCAAGGCCTAATTTAAAACAACTTTTAGCTTTATCAAGATCTCCTCGTTTCCAAACACAAGTTCCTAAGCATATCCACGCATCCACCATATAACGATTCAACTGAAGCTGTTACACAAATCAGCAGTCATGAAAATGAATCATAAAAAGAATAACTAATTAGACATACAAACGTGAAATTTCCTTTGACATTTACTCACAGCTTCTGTTAAACTTTGCTCTGCTTCCTTATTATAACCAGGAGACACATCCAGAAACTTCCCTCTCAAGTACAAATACATCGCGTGATCCTCCTTCGATTGCCTCTTCTCTACTCAACATAAAAAACATTATTAAAACCACAATTTACATTCAAAACACTAGTGATTACGCGGATAATTAAGAGATTTAATTACGTTTCGATGCCTTTTCAACTTTACGTTTTTGAACTCATTCAATGCGTTCTCCGAAGAATTCAAGTAAAAGTACATCGGTTGATCTTCTCGCGATTGCTTTTTTTTTTTTCTTGTTCTTTTTATAAAACATGATTTAAACCCAAAAAAATACATTAAAAAAAGAGATTAATCGTGTAAAACAAATACAGAACTTCAGAGTCCAAATTCAATGCATCAGAATATATACTTAACATTTTTAAACTCGGAATTCAATGCATTTTTCTAAGAATTCAATTACCTTTAGGAATAGCGTCGAGTAATTGGATAGCACGATCAGCTTGTTCTTTCAGGACAGCAATTTTTCCCTGACGACTTGGGAGGAAATAGTGATTGCGAAAATCATCAATTACTTTAGCGAATTCAGTCACCTGTGAAAACACATTCTCTTCTCCGGCGTCTCCTCCGGCGTCTCCTCCGCTAGCTCCTCCGGCAGAACTGCTCATTTTCTCCGATAAAGAAAAAACGAAGTGAAAAACAGTTGAAATGTATGTGAAAGCGTGAAGAGTATTGAAGTCTGCAACTGGGAAGTTATACGGTTATGGTTATTTGGGGGAAATCTTTTTGTTTAAATAAGCAGTCACGTTTTCTTTGCCTGTAATTTTCAGAAATTATAGATTCGCCCCTAATATTCTCTGTTATGTTTCTTTACTTCCATTTTCTTCTAATTAACTTGCTATCAAGTCCTTATACTAAGTATTTGGTCTTATTCATGAATAGAACATTTAATATGTTACTTATAAAATTTTCTTGAAAATGTTATTTAATCCGGTGAAAGATTATCATGATTTCGGATAACGTAATATTTAATATTTCATATTCAGAATTGATTGTATATTATTATCTTGAAAATTATATTTAATCCGGTGAAAGATTATCATGATTTATGATAACGTGATATTTAATACTAATGTAGCTAGAATTTAGTTATATTTATTTATACGATTTGATATTGGAATCTCGTTAGAAGATTGAATTCAATAATATAATAGTGAAGTATTCAATGTTGAGAATTCGATCATCTGTATCTAACATGATGTTGTGTTTGAATCTCGTTGGAAATTTAAATTCTCTTTTTTATTACCCTTTTCCTTCCCTAAATATTTAAAAGAGTAGCTTATTTTGGGAGTGGACAAGCCTTAACATAGCATTAGTCGGTTGAATTGTGCGGTTGTGCCCAATTACACGGTGCCGCTGTCCATTATTTTTTATCGGGGCACGAAGTTCACATTGCAATTTTGGAGAGCAGTACATCGAGAGTAAGGCACACGGGTTGAGTTGAGTACAGAATTTCATTCCCAGACGGACGGACAGTCCGAGCGCACCATTCAGATCTTCAAGGATACGCTACACACTTGTATTATAGATTTCGGAGGTTTTTGGAATCAGTTTCTATCGCTTGGAGAGTTTGCCTATAAAAACAGCTACCAATCGAATATTCAGATGGTTTCTTATGAGACCTATATGGGAAGCGACATTAATCTCCAGTTGGTTAGGTTGAGCCAAAAGGTGAGCCGAAAGGTGTCATCTTTAATTACGAATCAAATAGTAGGAAGAATTGAAAAAAAATATGTCGATTGATAGTCAATATGACCAAATTTTAGAGCGAAAATGGCATATAACAGTACATATTTCTTTAGCTATATATAATAGTCTAAATTAAAACAAGATGTGTTATAAATAGAATTTTATTTATGGTGAATGTCTATATTTAGAGAGATTCTAGGGATTATTACTTGGAGGCTAAGTCACTCTATCCCTATAAATAGAGGGTTCTATTCCATTGTAAATCATCCCAAAATCAATAAGAATTCTCTCTCCCTACTTTTCTCTACAATATTCTTCTTCTTCTTTTATTGTTCATAACACGTTATCAGCACGAAGCTCTAACCAATTGAGTAGAAGCTTCGGGATTGTAGTACAATGATTGTCAATTGTTCCATAAAATTCCTCATGATTAAATTTTGGATTTAAGGTAAGTATTTTACTTTATTTTTCTCTTTAAATTCTTGAAATTCTATAATTTGATTTTATATACAAGCAAAGACAACAAAGTTTGATTATAACTCTAATGGAGTTTGTAGGAAATTATAACCACCTGAAGTGGTAAAATTTTTATGCCCTGCCATGATCAAATTCATGTATGATTGTGGGTAAAGAATTGAAAACCCGTCCCATTGAATTTGCTTCATTCTCATTCCCTTAAGAGAATGTGATAGCAGCATGTGATAAGTCTGAAAGAAGATAAAATTACTACTATGAATGTATCAATGGATGTGGACGTGGCAATAGACGAAATTATAGTCGTCATCATTGTGGTAATGAGAATAATAAGGATTCTCAAAATAATCCTCCACTCTATGAAAGTAATGATTGTCATCAATTTGACATGAGATTTTATAAAGCACATATAGATGATTATGGTCCATTCATGATGTGAATGTGACAACTTCTGATTTATGAATACATATTTATTCTTGGAAGAATATGAACGTGCTAGTGGTAGTGAATATACCACACTCACCTCTAGAAGGGGGTTTGAGATGATATAAGAAAATAATGTCATTACTATGGCATGAATGATCATTGGTCACATACCTATTGTACGCCAAAATATTTTGGTAATGTGATTGTTAAAGAATAATATTAATGCAAGAAACATATCTCGCATATAATTTTGACCATAACCATAATGGTATAACTTTCTCTTTAAAAGAGATATTTACCATATGGATGATGAATGTATGGTAATACAAAATTAACTGAGAGCTCTGGACGAGCCAATTATTACTATTTTGGAGGAACAAAATTGATTATCAATAAGGCATTGCGTTGTAGTAAGTATCAAAGAAACTTATTTAGTTTCTAAAGTACTCGCGAAAGCGATTGGTTATATTGAGACTATAAATAAAGGAAAGATTTAGTATCTTATATTACTACAACTTGTAGCGATGTGAAAAGCTACCCGCTTTGTTCTCCAGTTTGAATACCAAACAAAAGAATACCACAATAAAGTGGATGTTTATTGATATAAAAACCCATATCATAATAAACTTGGAGTTTATTGAGAATTGCACACGTCATGGTGTAAACCTGAACTTTATCAATATTGATAATTTATCTAGTTGGCATAATTGATTTAGCCATGCTAATTTAAGTATGATGTGCAAAAAATAAAAGAGAACCTACATGGTTAAATATTAAAGAACTAGAAAGTTCTTTATAAATTCTCTTATATTGTTTGTTCTCAGTAATTAATAGACCAACTAAAATTGGGATTGATCCTATGAATACTGAAAATATCAAAGGTGAATACGGACACATTCACCTGCCATGTATACCACATAAGATGTATTTATGAGATAGTTACATGTGCGATTATTATTAACCCGCAACATGGTGTTTGCGAGGTAACTTGCTCAGTAATTTGATTTAGAGCATAATTTCCAGATTTTTTATTCAAGATAGTACATCTTGATAAGTTGGTTTACATCATAATTGGTTTAGAAAAATAATTTATTGAGTGTCTCCACTTAATAGCTAAACTATTGCTTATGAGAACAAAGTTATATATATATCAGTTTGATATACGTTATATACGAAAGTATATTATATTCTCCCCTCACAAGTGGTTTCAGTGTCAGAAACCAAATAATTTCATCTCATTATTATTGATGTGCAGTGTATATTTTGATTAACACCATAACGCAGAAAGATGGGCTTTCAAAGTTGAGGAAGCAAGTTAGTTTTTCTAACATGAGGGGGAGACAAGATAAATAGTTGGAAAAAGTTACGTGGAATGTATTATCATTTGTATATCTAGATCCTCGAATACGATAATATGAACTTGAAGTTCATAAAAAGATAATTCATCTGCAATATATTGCAAATTATGCTTGACCCAAAGAAAGTAACAATATTCTCACTGCAAATGCTCATATTAGAATAAGTCCTAGAAGGACAAAGTCTATGGTACGCTTAAAGAATATAGACAAATCGGTTTCAAATAAACTTCTTGATAAAGAAGATGAGCAAATGATCAAAATGATCATAATAAAGGAGGCAAGTGATCTAGAAGATCACATGACATAACACTTCATAAAATCTCATGAGAGATTTAGGTACCTGAATATATGAACGAAGAGATCTCTATGTTATGTCTTTATGAAAAATAAGGAGGTTGGAACCGATACAAAATTTTTGTCGACGACATATATGATGCCGCTATATATATATATATATATATATATATATATATATATATATGAGGATCTTAAGTCTGGAGAAACAATTCAAGTAGAATTTGGTTTCATATGAAAGACATGTAGTTTTGGACTGCAGTTCAAACACTTGAAAGTATAAAGTCAATGATATGTGTAATCAGTTTTCGATATCTTATTTGTCATGAAAACTTGATATGCATCTAATTAAAGTCTATTATATGGCTTATATGACTTTACTTATATGACAATCCATGAAGGATTTAAGTTGCTTGAAGCGTATACAATTCTTGATCTTGATGTACCACTTCCTCAGTGCAATTTGTGCACAAATGTATCTTGCTATAATTATAGGCATGATAATATGATAGCAAGAGTTTTCACCTCTATATGAAGATATTGAAATGATGATTCCAACAAGATCATATGAAGACAATACACCTATCAGGAATGATAATTTCAAGGTGAAACAAATTCGTTGAAGTTAATATGGCTGGTTTGTTTATCAAATATCTACCAAAGATCTTTTGAAGATGGTGCACAAGATTGGAATGCAAATGCTTAAAGATATGAATTGATGCTCTCATCAGGGGGAGTTAATGCGCGTTGCACTCTTTTTTCCTTACAAGATTTTGTCCCACTGGGTTTTCCTTGCAAGGTTTTTAACGAGACAACCAAAAGGCATATTGTTAGATATGTGTACTCTTTTTCCTTCTCTAGAATTTTTTTCCCACTGGGTTTTATTTTAGTTAAGGTTTTAACGAGGCACATTATCTGTTGAATAGACATTCAAGAGGGAGTGTTATAAATAGAATTTTATTTATAGTGAATGTCTATATTTAGAGAGATTCCAGGGATTATTACTTGGTGGCTAAGTCACTCTTTCCCTATAAATAGAGCATTCTATTCCATTGTAAATCATCCTAAAATCAATAAGAATTCTCTCTCCCTACTTTTCTCTGTAATATTCTTCTTCTTCTTTTATTGTTCATAACAAGATGAAATTTTTTAAGCTTAGAAGATAATTAAGATAACAAACTATAATAGGAAGTGAGAAAAAAGAAAAAAGAATAAGGAAATTAAATTTCTGGGGCCTAAGCGTAAATAATGAAACTATATGACTACCTACCTCTCCTAACAGCTTTTTCCCGCCCAATTCTTTATGCAACGTTTTATTTCTCTTTTTGATAATTCTAATCTCTTCTCTATTCTCTTCAGTTATTGGTAATTTTCTAATTTAGTCCTTGTAATATTTGGCTAAGCACTTTAACCTTTAATCAACTAAAATATATGTTTCTTTTATATAA